ATTTTAGCTTTATTATTGTCATTATTATTATTGATTCCTTCTCTCCTTCCCTCTGACTACCTAGAACACTTGACTGTATGAAACACTGCAATACTACAGTATGAATGAATGAACACGCTCAGGGTTAAGACTTCAGTAGTTAGGGTCAAGAAAGAATACTTGTCTGGCAAATATGTAGGACCATGCCTGGAAGGAATGCTGTTGTTGTATGCCTGGGGTCAATTCCAACTCATAGTGACCCCAGAGTAGAACTGCCCCATATGGTTTGCTAGGCTGTAATATTTACAGGAGCAGATCACCATGTCTTTTCTCCAGAGGAGCAGCTGGTGGGTTCGAACTGTCCACCATTGGGCCACCAGGGCTCCTTGGAAGGAATGCTAACTAGGGACAATTCTAAAAAGTGATGTAGGTTACAATGAATGTAGGCCAAAACTGTCCCTGTCCTGGTAGAGATAGGAGTGGGAGAGAAGCTCTATCAGACCAAGAATGGAGTAAGGGTGTGAGAACTGGACTTCCATAGATAAAGACAGCTTCAGGTAATTTGTTTCAAAACCAGTTGAATTAGAGAATAAATAGGTCAAAAAAGAATATTCCCAGCTACTTGTTTTCCATATGGATTGTTTTGTCATCTTTAAAGTCTTTAAGCATCATTGTCAGTTTATTGTAATTTTTTATTTTTCTTAACATTTGTGCTTTTTGATTCAAATTAATTTTCAGACAATTATTAAGAAACAATGTTAATGTCCCACAATAGGATTTAATTATTTTCTATCCAAACTATCAAGCCATTGAGAACATAAAATATATGTAGCAAACAGTACGTATAGTATGATTCGTTGGAAAACACATATTTATGTGTATGTACCAAAAAAATTCTCAAAGACCCAAAGAAGCAGTAAAGCAAATCCTTAGCTACCAAAATTACCAAACAGACAAACAGCCAGTGGTTGGAAATATTTATTTTTTGCTCATTTGTCCAGTTAAGCAAATTTTTATTGCAACCAATTTGTTTTCTACCAAACTGTTTCTGACCAAATCATCTCCTACCAGCAGAGAAGCCAACTGATAAGGGTGCCAAGTGTAGGGCCTGGTGCAAGACAGGTGAGATAAGGGTTAGAATTTACCAACTGAGGAGAAATGGGAGAGGTCAGGGAGGGGCTTGGAATGCATCTCACCAACACTGAGTTCCAGCTTAGTCTTCCTTCAGAGTGGCAAGCTCCTCCTAGGTCCAGACTCAGCCCTTGGGAAGCAGCAGAACTACAATGACCATATAATGTCAAACTAGTTGTTGAAGAAAGGAGCCCTGGTGGCGCAGTGGTTAACAGCTCGGCTGCTAACCGAAAGGTTGGCAGTTCAAACCCATGAGCAGCTCTGCCAGAGAAAGATGTGGCAGCCTGCTTCCATAAAGACTACAGCCCTGGAAACCCTATGGGGGCAGCTCTAGTCTGCCCTATAGGGTCACTGTGCGTTGGAATCAACTAGAAGATGCTCTGAACGAGAAGATTCTCTAAAGAAGGAATGTTTTTAGGATTACCTCCTTTACTCTATGCATTTGCTTGGCAAATCCTTTTTTCCATACACGGTGCAAAAGAAAATTTCATTTTCCATAGTCCCTATTACATTACTACAAATTATGAATTGGGGGTATGTGTGTTCTTTTTCTTATTTTATTTTATTTTACTTTTTTTTGGTATGTGTGTTCTTAATTGATTATTGCTATGTTTAAGAATCTTCTCCTGTTTTGTTTGATTCCTATTTCCTACCTCACAGAAATGATAGAAGAATAATTGAGGAAATGTGTTTTATTATTCTCCTTTTATGGATAAAGCAATTGAGAAACTTATTCAGCTTCAACAGTAACTATATTTTTATAAATTTTCAAATTTTGCACTTGCATTCATTTCTCATCCCTGCCACTAATTTCCAAAGTTATAACTCTTGCCTTACTTGAAATCTTCAGTAAGTTTTGCTCACTTAACAAGCTTGCAAACAACAGCAGGTATTTCCGAGGCAGATTACCATCCATCACCCAAACTCTATTGGTCTTTAAAACACAAATGTGAATCTGGGGGATTTTGTGGTAAAGTTGAAGGCCACTAGAGAGCACCACGCCTTCTCTGGCTTTGATGTAGTTATTTTTAAAGACCCCATGAAGAAATGCCTTTATGCTAAAGATTACACCCGGTACAGTAAAGAGCACTTGGAGCTTGGAGAGCTCATTCTTCAGCTGATCTTGCCATTCATTTGATGGGTGACCTTAGGAAAGTCTTCTAGCCTCTCCGTGCTTTAATTTCCATTTCTGTAAAAGGTGCTGGGGGCAGGGGGAGGGAACGGGACATGCTAGATGATCTCCAAGTTCCTTCCAGCTCTGAAAAGTCTGATCCTGTGCTTACTAGTTTATTTCTTCAATGCCTAATGGCTTCAATCAGGGAGAAAACCTGGCAGAAAAGCAAGAATTTTACCTGCATTATTTCATCATCTTCCCCAGCTCATCCTCCTCTCTACTTTTCCTGCTAAGAACCTTGGAAATACTTTTGATCTCTTCTTGTTATTCACATTATAGACAAATTATAATATTATAATTTCTAAACACTTGCAGAGCACTTTCCAAGTTTTACCAATCATTTTTGCAAATATTATCGCATTTGATTATCACAGCAGCTCAGGCTGGTAGGTATTATTTTCAATTTACCTTGTGAGGAAACTGAGGCTCAGAAGAGTTTGGTGAATTAATTGCCCAGAGTAACATGGATAGTAAGTTATGGGACCAAGCATTCTGATTCCAAAGTCTATAGTCTTATCACATCCACACTCCCAATTAGAGGTTTTGTGGAGCCTGAAGTGTATCCAGTTTTGGTGGCCATCTTCAAGAAAAGGAATACAAAATTACAATTAACAACATTGTATGATCCTGTGACCACATTGTTAGGGCTTCTCCCAGGTCTTGGGTCTATTCAAGTGAGGGGCCCTAAAGATCAAGTTTCATGGAAAATCTGGTTTTCCATGTTTATACACTTACTTAGTGCTTACTATGTGCCAGGTACTGAAGTAAATATTTCTTATCATAACAACTCTATGAGGTAGGTATTATCTTTGTTTTACAGAGTGGAGAATGAGGCAAAATGAAGTGCCTAAGGACACACAGCTAGGAAGTACACATGTCAAAATTGGAAACTAAGGGATCTGGCTTCCAGGTCCATATTCTAAACCCATCACATTATTTTGCTTTCTTTTGACAGGTTTCCTGGGAATCACCTTACTCTACCACTTTCTGCTACCATTCCACAGTTCAGGCCTTTATAAGTTCCCATCTGAGTCACATTATAAGACACCAGAGTCTCCTACACTGCCTCCCTAACAAAACTCTCCTACTATCTACCTTGAATGTTGCTGCCACCCTAATAATCCTAAAGGACTGCTGTTCTAAGTCCCGGCCACCCCAAATACTTCAACAGCCTTCCCCTTCTCTGCGTTTTATCAAAGGTAAGAAGCAACTACTGCTCATAAGCTGTACTTGGCCATGGATTCTATACTGTCTTCCACTAATATGTTGAACTGTTACTGAAAACTTTGCTTTGTGAAACAGAGGCTGAGCTGGGAAGAGGAAAGCACATGAGACCTCTCAGGATCTGAGACCCTAATCCCCACTCTTCCTTAATCCCAGGTTCTTCACTTGCAAAACAGAAACTGTTAGGCCTACTCCACAGGGCTGTTGTGAGAATTAAGGGAGGTGAGAGTTGGGGTGAGGTGGGGTAGGGTTGGTTGGCATGCTTCAAGTGCTCAACAAACGTTGATTTGTGCCTGACTCCATCTTCCTAAAGAATTTGTAAGCTCTTTGAAGGAAGAGACTTTGACTTACACTTATTTCTCAAAAGTCCTGAATATCAGAGATACTCTATGATTAATTGATCACACCAGTAGATACACTTTGGTGTCTGGACCTGCTGAAGACCCTACAATAGCTCATTACAGAATCAGGCTCTGGAGTCTGACTTCAAGCTCTGTGACCTCTGGAAAGTTACTTAACTTCTCTGAGGCTCCAGTCTCTTATTCATAAATGTTATTAGTATTTACTTCATAGTGTTGTGACAATTATACAAGATAATCCAGGTGAAGTGCTTAGATTATAACAGCCCTCCCCCACCCCTAGTTGTTACCTGTATGTCTCAAATACTCAATGTCCGTAAGAACTTGGTCTCTCTGCATTCACATCCTATCCCATCGGGCCAGTCTCTCCACCCTCTTACCTGTCCTTCTTTCCTGACATCTGGCTTTCCGAACACCCATCATTCATCAAATGTCACAGGCCAGGTTCTGTGGTAAATAAGTTCCATAAATTCTCTCATCAAAACCTCCTGACAAGCCTATGAGGTCGGTTCTATTACTGTTGCCATTTTAAGGATGAGGAAACGGGCCCTGAGGGCTTGACTAACTTCCCCGACGTCACTTAACTACAATGGCAAGGCCGGGATTGGAATCCAAACACATCCGAGTCCAGTCAGGGATCTTAGTCAGCAGCCCCTCGGCCTTTCCCGCGTTGAAGCTGCATTCGCGCCCCATTCAACTTCTGGTTAGTCGCTCCTCTTCCAGTCACTTCCCCTCCTATTCCGTGCTCCCATCGTCCCCCACACCTCAGAGTCAGGCCCCTGGAAGCACGCGGCATCCCTCTGTCCTTGGCGGCTTTTCCCTTTTCTCTGCCAATCCGCCGAGAGACGAGACGAGGGTGCGAGTTGGGCCGGAGATGCGCTACTCGAGCGCTGCGGCTCCATCCGCGCGACACAGTGAGGGCGCTGCGCCCAGGGCTCGCTCCGCCGCCATCACGTGGCGGGGAGGGGGCGCCGGCGCGCGCGAGCTGGCGAAGAGAACGTGGAGGCGCGAGTCGGTGTTCGCGTGTATGTGTAGCGGGGAGGGGACCCGGAGGGCGGACTCCGCCCCCTGTGCGCATGCTCGCGTCCCGGCTCCTTAAAAGGCAGCCGCGAGGGCCGGGGCAGACAAAGTGTCTGGTGAGCTGCTACGTGACTTGCTGGCCGCGTGAGTGTCCAGCGCACCAAGGAGGCAGCTGCAAGGAAGGCAACCCAGACTCTGGACCCCGCGGAACTCCAGCCTGCGCCGCCGCATCACACACACGCTCAGCGCTGCTAGCCTCGCACTTAACGGTTAGTTGGGTAACGGCCCAAGGCGCAGCGGCGCGGCCCCCGGGGGTGCCCTCACTGCCTTGGGGTCGGAGGGAAGCTAGGGAAAGCAGAGACGTTCGTCTCGGGGATGAGAGGCGGCCCGGCGGAGGTCACTGTGGCCGCAGGCTGCGGCAGAGCGGCCCCGGAGGGCAGCGTTGGTGAAGGGGACCTTGAGGCGCTGGGCACAGTGCCTCTCCCAAACAAGCCGCGGGGCCAGCAGTCAGGTGCCGGCCACCGGCCCGGCCGAGGAATTGTGTCCTGGTGCCTGCTGACCTTGGGGAAGTCACTTCCCCTCTAGTCTTCAATGGGCTTCTCAAAAGATGCTTATTATCTGCAAAACAGACAACGTGGGGCTGACTCACGTGGTACTTCCAGAGTCTCCCGGCCGCGTTCTGCTCGGAGGAAAGGGGCTTGGGGTAGGAGTTATTTTGAACTCGTGGCATGCCCACCCAACCTTCTCGACTGGCCGATCCTTTCCCACGTGGGACTTGGCGATAGTGGTTCAGGGGAGCTGCATTCCTTGTAGCAGAGGCGTGACTGCAGGGTTTTAGTGGATTTTGCAGAGGAGACAGTGCAGCCTGGAGACTCCCGGGACTGGTGCTGAGGGGGCTCTTTGTCATTCAACCTGTGGCTGCAGAACGTTCTCCCCAGCACCCTCCCGTACCTGGATTTAAGGCAGCCCTGAAAGATAGCGTTACGTTTCGTCAAATGCACTCTTTTTGTTCCAAGAACATCTTTTTCCCCGTGTGCATTTTAACATTTCGTTTCTTTGTCATGACTGAGTGCCGCAAGCAGTTGCCAAAACTAGTTTGTAATTACTCTAAACCAAGAAATATGTTACTACTTTTAGTCTTTATCCCAAGTTTCCAGTGACTGATTAGAAACTGGGCGTCTACTGATAACAGTAAAATGTTTACAAGCGACTTTATTTACCATGCCTAGTTTTTTTTTTTTTTTTTAAATGACTCGTTTTGAAATAAAATGTTTACATTATCAGTGCTCTGGTAAAACAAATGTGGGATTAGTTACTACTGGAATTTCAGGATGGAGTGAACTCTGAGTTTGGAAGTGTGTGAGTAGGCATTAACCAATCAATTTCTGATGTCAACTACCAGCCCAGTGACACCAAACAAGACTTTTAAACTTTTTGTGTAGGCTTTATATAGTACCCATATATCCAAGTTACACCCTTATACCTTGGAGTACAACTTTGGCTTCAAATTACCATGGAAATTATCAAAAATTCAAGAGATCTAGCCCTTAAAACAAATAGTGGGTAAGTGTTATTCACACAAAAATTGAACATACTTCGGTAATTTTGGCTTTAGATAGATGGTGTTCTTTCATGGGACTGCAATGACTCTTGTTAAATATGCACATTAATGATCTGGGAAGCATTTTGTGAGATTTTTGTGCCTGAGTAGGTTTAAAAGTTTAGTTGTAAGCTTAACATAATAGGCTGTAACATCCCTAAACAGATTAAAAAACAAAAAAAAGATCATATCACCATAGGATGAAACTAACCGATTATTGTTTCAATAGTTTATATATCTCCTGGTCTTCTAAATATTAAGGCATGTAATATTAGCTCTGGAAAGGATCTTAATGACCATCTAGTCCAATTCCCTTATTTTACAGATAAAGGAAACTGAGGCTGGCGAGGTTAAGTGACATCATCTTAAGTCTGAAAATTTGTTAGTGGTTTTATGGGAACTGACTGTTTTCTGATTCAGACACTTGGCCATTTTATCAGATTGGCACTCCAGAGCTTTCTCTTAAAGTTTTAAATATGGATCCAAATTATTTCAGACTGAAAATAGATTTTTAGAATGAGAGCGTTTCCCAGCTTATGTCTTTCATTTCCATTGTGTTTTTCAATTCACGTGATAATATACATTTCTATATAAAATTCAGGTCTCTGTAAATGCCTATATGGCAGTCTGTTTTTGTTGCAGACAAGGACTAGGAACCTGGAATGTGGGTATGAGTAAAACTTGGTCTGGAGAGTTGTGAATTTTTATACAGTAAAACCTGTGAAAGCTGGAGCCCGTGTAAGGTGGAAACCTGTCAGAGAAGAAAAACTCAAATATTTTCCACTAATAGAGAGTGATAGAAAAGTGGAAAGACTGCACCCTGTCAAAGGTGGAAAACTTGTGAGACTCGGGAAAACAGCAGTCTCGTCGAGTTCCAGCCCTCACAGGTTTCACTGTATATTCAGCAATTTGTTATTGACTACCAGGCACTACCAGCCCTGATGGTGCAGTGGTTAAGAGCTCCGCTGCTAATCAAAAGGTCGACAGTTTGAATCCACCAGCCGCTCCTTGGAAACCCTATGGAGCGGTTCTACTCTGTCCTGTAGGCTCACTATGAGTTGGAATTGACTCGACGGCAACGGGTTTGGGTTACCAGGTGGTATGAGAGACTCAGGGTTCAGCAGTGAACAAAGTTCAGCCCTTGCCCTCCCAGAGTTTATAGTCTAGCTGAAAAACAGACCAATATATCATTACTACAACAAGTACTCTTTATAAACAATGAGTGTTATGGGGGCAGTGGTGGTTCACTGATAGAAATTCTCACTTTCTGTGCAGTAAAGTCACCACCCATCTGGAGGCTTGAGTATTGCTCCAATGCTAAAAACAGGTTTTAGTGGAGCTTCCAGACTAGGAAGAAAGGCCTGGTGATCTGCTTCTGAAAATCAGCCAGTGAAAACCCTGTGGATCACAACAGTCAGATCCCATTGTGCATGGTCGCCATGAATTGGGCCCAACTTGATGGCAGCTAACAACAGCAAGTGTTATGACAGGGAAAGTACAAGTTCCTTTGGGAACAAATACTGTATTGTGTAGGTGTGAGAATACACCCAACTTGGTATAGAAGCAATGTGGGTAGGCCTCTGTGAGAAAATGGTTATTTAACCTGAGACCTGAAGGATGAATAGGAGCTAGCTAGGCAAGAGAGTGATGGTGGGTGGAAAGAGCATTCCAAGCACAGATAAATATTTCAGTATATATCTGGCATAAATTCGACTCTTTAAAAAATCATAACCACCACCTCCTGGGACTGAGATACTTGGTTTGAGGGCTAGGGACCATAGTCTCGGGGGACATCTAGGTCAATTGTCATATCGTAATCAGTATAGATAATGTTCTACACCCTACCTTGGTGAGTAGCAGCTGGGGTCTTAAAAGCTCACGAGCAGCCATTTAAGATGCAACAACTGGTTTCTTCCTATCCGGAGCAGAGAACAGTGAAGAAAACCAAAGACTCAAGGAAACAATTAGTCCAAAGGACTAATGGACCACATGAGCCATAGCCTCCACTAGTCTGAGCCCAGAAGAAATACACGGTGCTCGGCTACCACTACCGACTGCTCTGACTGAGACCACAATAGTAGGTCATGGTCACAGTGGGAGAGAAATGTAGAACAAAATTCAAACTCATAAATAAGACCAGACTTACTGGTTTGATAGAGACTTGTGGAACCCCCAGACTATGGCCATTAGACACCTTCAAACTTGAAATTGTTCCTGGAGATCACATTATAGTCATACAATAGACAGGCCTATAAAATGAACAGTAACACCAGTGAGGAATGTATACCTCAGAACAATCAACTATATGAGACCTAAAGGGCAGCATTTCCCCAAAAGCAAAGTTCGGAAGGAAGGTGGGGCAGGAAAGCTGAGCTCATGGACACAGGGAACCTAGGGAGGAAGTGGGGAGAGTGCTGACACACTCAGGGGTTTGCAGCCAGTGTCATGAAACAAGATGTGTATAAATTGATTGGGAAACTAATTTGCTCTGTAAACATAAAATGTTAAAAAAAAAAAAGGAGTGGGGTGCTCAGAAAGAGGGGTGGTGTCTACCTTGAAGTGAAATTTTCCAGAGAAAGGAAGGTTGGTTCTGGAAACAAGTGCAACTTTTCCTTATGATTTGCTCCTGGGTTGGGTCATTTGACCTAATTTCAGTGACCACTGTTTCCCTGGGTTGTGGCCCTTTCTCTGCAAAGTGGAAGAATAGGAGGCCTCTGGATGTGCTAGCCTGAGATGTGAGGACTGTTGTGGGCCCTCCATCTGACTGTTCTTTTCTGTCAGCTAAAAATGCTGTGGACCAGAAGTAAACCTTCACATTAATGGTCAGTTGATTTTCAACAAGAGTACCAAGACAATTCAGTGAGAAAAGAATAGCCTCTTCAACAAATGGTAATGCAGCAACTGGATAGCCACAGAGAAAAGAAGAAAGTTAGACCCCAACCTCACTCCGTATACAAAAAAATTAACTCAAATGGATTAAAGACCTAAATGTAAGAGCTGAAACTATAAAACCCTTAGGAGGAAACATAAGTGTAATTCTTTGTGACCTTCGGTTAGACAGCGATTTCTTAGATATAACATCAAAAGCATAAATAACCAAAGAAAATAGATAAATGGGATTTCAGATTTAAGAGCTTTTGTGCTTCAGCGTACACATCAAAAAAGTGAAAAGACCAGCCACAGTATGGGAGAAAATTTTTGCAAATCATATAACTGATAAGGGACTTGTATCTAGAATATATACAGAACACTTACAACTTGATAATACAAAATAAATAACCCAATTTAAAAATGGGCAGAGGATCTGAATAGACAGTCCTCCAAAGAAAATGTATAAATGGCCGGTAAGTACGTGAAAAGATGCTCTACATCATTAGTCATCATGGAAATGCAAATTAAACCCACAATAAGATACCACTTCACACCCATCAGGATGGATATAACTGAAAAGACAGGTAATAACAAGTGTTGATGAGAATGTGGAGAAATTGGAATACTCATACACTGATGGTGGGAATGTAAAATTGTGCAGCTGCTTTGGAAAACAGTCTGGCAGTTCCCCAAACAGTTAAACAGAGTTACCGTATGACCCAGCAATTGCACCACTAAGTATGCACCCAAAAGAATTGAAAGCAGAGACTCACAGACACGTACGCCAGTGTTCACCGT